GTGAGTGCGCCCCTCCCCGCCCGGCCTCTGCGCCCCTGCGGCAGGACCCCTTCACAGCCCCGCGGAACCGACCCAGGAACTCCACCCATTCCGGGACCCGAGGCCAGGACCTCTATCAGAGAGGGAGTTTGAGAACCTGACCCTGAGACCCCCGGACCCACGGGGACTGAGACCCCTTGCCAAGAGTCTGCATCACCCACAAAAGACCAGGCCCTTGACAGCCCAATCCTGATCGACCAAAAGCCTAACCCTGGAACTGAGATTCGTCAGGACCTCAGACCCTTCAGTATCGAGTCAGCTATCCGAATGGCAACCCTGAGCCCTACCGAATCCTGGCCAATTATTCAAATCCCTGAGACCCCAGACCCTTAATATGCCCCTTCTCTGGATTCCTAGGACCCCACAACCAACCTCCCTCCCTCCCTTTCTTCTCCCCCCACTCCCTCCCGCACCTTGCCCCCCGTTGGAGCCACCACTGAGACCTGGACCACCTTGGACACCACCTATTTCCCCAACCATCCTCCAGGTCCTCAACCCCCTAAGTTGGATCCTAGAGCTATAGACATCTCCATCCCCTATGTGATACCCAAGCTTTGGTAGTGTCTTTCACTAGCCTGTGCTCAGCCACCCTCTAAGCTCTTAAGTCTCTCCCAGCCTTATTTGAACCAAGGACCCATGCCCCTGCTGACACTGTCTGGCACTGCTCCCTCCACTCCCCAACCCTGACTTCTCAAACTGTCTTCCTTTGAAAGTGAGGGGCTCCATCCCTTCTTGTCCCCAGCCTGGAGTGAGGACTGCTCCCATTGTGACGAAGTGAGTTCTTATAGCTTCCCCTGGTCTGACCGTGGCCCCATTTCCTTCCAGTGGAAGCTGCAGTCCCAGTTCCTGTTTCCCTAAGAGTAGCCCTGCTGCGGGGGTTGGGGTGTGGTATCTCCAGCTGGTCTATTCTGACCACGGGGGAAGAAGGGCCCAGAGCTGCCGGGCCTGTGCCAGACACCCCCGCCCCGTCCTAGTCGCTATCCTTTAGGAAACATCCTGTCCCAGCCCAGTTCAGGACAGAAATAACGGGATAAATTTGGAAGTGTCATCTGGTCTTACCAGGGAGGATGGGCCCTGGGGACCTAGGGGCTTCCTCATAGACCCTTGGCGTGATCCCATGTAGGAGTGCCAGGGTGGGAGTGGGGGCTGTGGACACCATGGCTGCTGTGTGTCAGACCCAGTAAGTGTGTCAGACCCAACCTTTTTGGGAATGGGGTCTCATTGAAGGCCTCTGAGGAAAGTCCTGTCTCTTCCCCTACGGGGCATAGCTCAAGGACCTGTGAGTCCCCTGTCCCCAGCCAGGACCAGTGGGGCAAGGTATTTGGGGAGGGCAGAGAGGCTACCATCTTCTCTTGTCAGTCTCTCAGTTTCTTTCTGCGTGTCTCTGTCTGGATTGCTGTGACTCTGTGCCTCTCTGCCTGTGTCGTTCCGACTCCACCTATGTGTGTGTTTTTGTTTCTTCCTCCAGCTCCCCCCACACTCTGGCTCTGGCTCTCAGTTTCTTTCTGCGTTGTTTTCCTCTGCCTCTCAGTTCCTCTCTGAGCTCCTCTCTTTCCCCATTCCTTTCTTTCTCTCTCTCTCTCTCTCTCTCTTTCTCTCTCTGTGTGTGTCTCTTTCTCTTTCTGTCCCCTGTCTCCTCTCCCTGCACTCTGGCACACCTCATACCACCTGGAGGGTTTTGCTGACCTCTGTGCCCGCCTGTCTGTCCCCAACAGGGAAGCTTCTCAAACCCATGGTGGAGTGAATTCATCTCAGCTCTGGGGCTCCTGTGTAGCCTGATGGACTACGTGTGCCAAGGCCAGGGGAGGGCTGGGGGTAGCTGGTTTGATAGCTGCTACCCCATACCCCCCATGCCAGATAGGCAGAGTAGACTGGACCCCTGGGATGTTGGGGATGGCAATAAGAGCCTGGAACAGGTGCTAAGCCCCTCTCTCATGTTTATCTTTTGCCGCAAACACAGAACTGCTTCCCGGGGCGGGTCTGGAAGCTTACTGAGACACCCTGTGGGGATGAGGGCCAGCAGCAGGGTTGGGGAGGGTAAGTCCTTTTGACCCATTCTCAGCACCCAGGGCTTACAGAGGACTCTTACAAGGACAGGGCTGTTCTGGGGTGTGACCTTGGTTTTGTGGAAGATCAGCAAGATGCAGAGTGATGAATTAAGGATTCCAGATATTGGAGGCTTCCTGTTTGGCATCTCAACCTGGGCTCTGAGCCAAGACCAGGGATAGACTAGGTATGCGCTCTTGGTTGCAAGCTGGGAGTCCCTGGGCTATGTTTTTGCTTTAGACCTCTGATTTTCAGAAACATCTTAGCCAAGAGCCTTGCTGTGGGGTAAAATCCTGATCGGGACCTAACATGTAATGTGGCAGCATGGGGGTCACCTGTGCCTCAGCTCCCTGAGTGATGCGGTTTGAGAACCCAGTTCCATATTCTGGTTCAACTTTCTGTGCTATGTCTAGCATTCAAGGCTTTAGCTGTATTGGTTCTTTGCCCTGGGTTCTGTCTTGGGCTGGGTCTGGGCTGAGCACCTCCATTTGGCCTTCAGGTCTAACTGCTGTCCCCTGCCCCCCAGGGCCTGGAGCAGGATGTCCTCCAGGCCATTG